TACATAATATCTCTTTATCCAAACCGAAACCCACACCAACACCCACACCCACACCCACACCCACCCACATCCACACCCACACCCTTTTTAGGGATCGAATTTTATACGAAAATTTTTTTCTTTCAAAACACAAATATCAACTAATGTACAATTGAATATCATGCCAACAAAATAATGTTACAAATGTAAATAGATTATTACCGATTTCACAAAAGACTATCTCAAAAATCATTTTCTTGCTCGTGTGTAAACGAATGTACAGATGCATTCATCGGCGTGGGTCATAGTTTGATAAACAACACTGGAACTACACTTTATTTAAATAAGCATCTTATGTCTTTTATGGTTTTTGGATTACTTATTTTAGCTATCGAACACATCTTTTCGAATAAAATCCTACCTTTATATTCGTGTTAAGAATCATAAATGTGAACAATATCAAGTTTCAATTCAGAGTAAACTAATCTAATTCACTAGAAATTATTGAGATGTTATGAATAAAAATAGAAAAATACAAATTAGAAGCTTCTCGAATATATCTTTTTGTATCCATGTTTATAGTAACATTAAAGCTTTGTGTACATGACATCAATTTTCGAGAAGACGTATCATGAATATAACTTCATCAGTTAGTAATGATTTGATGTTTTCATTGGATTCTATTAGAACGGATGTATTATATATGAGTTCGTTGACTTTCAAAGAGAGTCAATTCTTCTTGTCCAATTATTAGAAGATCAAACCAATAAGGCGTAAATGAATCTCGAAATGTCGCTTGATAGTGATTTGACTATTGGGAAAAATTAAAATTTACTTATCTTTATGATCGAAAAACTCTTATAAAATATATGAACAAACATAATAATAAATGTAACAATGTTTATAATTAAAATGGCAGTTAAGACTACTTTTGACAGATGTTTACGAGGTAATCATGATTATGAAGCATTCTTAAACTCAATTTTATATAAGCGATTAAATAAAACACATTGTTGAAATCAAAACGCAAATTATCTGAGAATTCAAGGTTACTTCTTCTGTGGTACGGCATTTTTTCAGGTTTTGACGAACGCTAAGTATTTTTTGTTTTAGTTTTCGTGAAGAGTTCAAATATTAGAAGCCATTAAACAGGTTTTTTATGACCAAACTCAAAAATTAATTTCTATTGATGTCTTTTTTTAACAACAGTATTATATCTGTTGTAATTTTACATAGCTTGCATCTTATTCGTATGCTTCATCTATTTTGATTACCTTACAAGATTAATTTAGCCTTGAAACAATACTAAATAATAATAGGTTGACAACAGCTAAAACCACAAAATTTATAATCAATTATCATAAAATTTGAAATAGCTATTTCTAAACATCTTACTTTTAAGCATATACCAAAATAAATTTTTTGATAGGTCTTCATTTTAATTATTATGAATATTAACAACTTCAAGATCACCATTATCAAGGAGATATTAATCACATATTCATTATATTTTACTATTGAACAAACCAATGTTTTTCTTTGTTTATATTTTTCGAGTACGAAACATGTAAATAAAGTTTCATAATAAATATTAATTTTTTTCTTGACAACAATAGTGTTCGAAAAATTGACATCAAATAATTTGTCCCTGAATTTATCTATAGTAAACACCGTGATTTTTTTTTCTTTCCTTTCCTCTACATTATAAACAACACAACAAGTCTATTTAATGAATAACAGCAGGTTTCTGTTCTTGTTTATGCTGCAACTATCGTAAGTCTTATACTTACGTATCATTAATAGATGTAAATTAGGCATAAATCACACACAAACATATAAATAAATTGTATTATATAATCATAGTCCTTGCAATAAGAGATAAATGTCACCATTTTGTTTTCTGACAGGATAAACTGTCTTCTTTTTCCCCTTTTTTTCGTTCTCTTATATTTTGGAATATGTAAACGACACGGTTCACCTATTAAAATCAGCAACATGTCTCTTAAGCTAACTAATTATTGTCGTCCATTATCGCAGCCAGTCGAATAAAAGTGAGTTGCTTCTGTCAGACTTAAATTGAAGGTCGTAGTTTGCGTTTTTAGTAACAGAATAACTATACTACTTTATTTTTATTCTTTAAATCTTCTTGTATTAATTCTAGGCAATATATTAACTATCTAACGAAAAATAAAGAGATATGGGAAACAGAAAAAGCACTCGTAATACTGATTTTCCCCCTCCTCCTCCTCCGATTCCTCCGCCACGGTTTACTGATATACCAAGTAAGCGTTTGTAACTTTCGTTATCTTCTACAAATTGTACAATACACATACATAATATTCTATTGGCTTTTTTTTACAAAGTGACTTCAACTTCAACAACTCTTTATCGACCAAAACTACCACGTCAAGGTCAACGAAACCGTCTTCTTCCTAAAATTCGTGCCATTTTTATACCCCAGGCTCCTTCAGCTGCAGTTTGGTAAGATCTTTATTTATATATTTTTATGTAACAACAGTGTAAACGGATTCTTCGTCTCTTGTTCAATAGTGCCTTACCGATGGCTGTTGCAATGCCAGTAGCATATCCATGTGCTAATTACGGTAATATGACTCCAATCAAATTTCTAGCATCTTTTAATCAATATCTATGCTTTTCTTATTTTTATTGTAGGTATCGCAGGATATGGGGGATACGGCTATGGATATGGAGGATATGGATATGGATATGGATATGGAGGATACCCTTGTTGCTATTGTTGCTAAGCTGTGGTCATGCTTTCTCATAGATTCATTCTTTATAAATACAAAACAAACAAGTTACGAATTATTCATGATTTAATAAATAATAAGATGTTAACGCATTAATAACGAATTTTCTTTTTGTGAAATTACTTTTATAATTCTTTTTTCTTGTTTATATTTCTTACACTAAAACAATTATTTTTTGATAGAGAAAAAAATAACTAGTGAAATATGTTTCGAAAAAATTCAATGACACAATACAAGTTCCACGTGAAATTGATGATCCAAAAAGGTCACTATTGAATGTTTTCAATATTTTTTTATCAAGTGGAAAAACACATGAATTTCATTCCTTAGAATGTCTTGCAGATCATACACTTTTCCTGTTTCTTAAAAATACAAGAATTATGCGATCCTTCGAAAATGAAATTGATATGGTACAATAAGAATCTGAGTTAATGATTATGAACTATCCAAAGTTAAAAAGCTTGAAAGACATAAACTTTTACGAAAAAATTTAGTTAACTGAAATTTACCATAACATTCTATTTCTACGTTCGTCATTGATGATCGAAAAGACTTAAACATGAGAAGCCTTGAAGTGAAAATCAGATAATGGATCATCAAAGATGATATAGTAAATGACTTCAAAAAAGTTGTGTACACCTTTTCTCATACTATGATAGAATACGGAGTGAATTTCTTCATAATCAGTATGTTGCTTAATACAAAGTATTATTTCTGTTAAAATATAATATGTTTTCTTTTTTATTTGAATAATTTACGATCATGCAAAGTAATTGAGATTGAAATTTTTGCAATTTGATAGAGAAAGTTAGGTGATATCTTCTATCTCTACAAGATTCATTACGGTTAAAGAAGTTTTTCGTGACTCGATTTTCGATTGATAACTTATTACTTGTCATTTTCCATTAGTTTTTACAGCAGTCTAGACTCAAACTACAATAAAGTAGTCAGAGATGGTTTTCAATCATGTTGGACATTTTAGATCTCTTCTTCTAGTTTTCGAAATTATCTTTTAAATAAAGAACATAAGGATGTGACACCTTTACCATAAATGTAGGACTACTTGGAATATTCGTTTCAGTGTAGTTTGAACCGAGCCAACTCATATTATATTAGTGTAGAAAATTAGCTCAACTATTTTTTTAAGTTAATCGATAACTTACTTCTAACTATAGCGAATACCGCAGGGTAGAATCAAGTCTTCTCATGCTTAATTTTCTTTTTTCTTAGAGTAGGTGAATTGGATGTCGTAGATGGAGATTTGAATAGATGTGGAGTGTTGAAATAGTAGAAAAAAAACGTTTACACCACTCGTCTACACCCAACATCAATGATTAAAATGATTCATTTTTCTACATGAATTTCATTTTCATAGAAATAGTTTATCGGGAAATAAAACATAATGGTTAATTCATGTCGTACATGTAAAGATTGAAATTCAAATTAAGAATCAATAACAGAAATAAGCGAAGTCAACTGTGAATTTTCTGCAGTCCTTTTTAAAAGATTTCAAAAACGATGAATTTAGATATTTCATCACATGATAATCATTGTTTTTAAATTGTTTGAAATCATATTATATAAAATTCAACTTCAAAGAATGTACCACTATATAAAAAAGCAACTATATCGATTTATACGTATATGTGAACGTTTTTACGAAATTTCAGGATGTCCATTATAGATATATATATATATATATATGTAAACAATGTATCGAACTTCGTTTTTTAACACAGACATCGAGGTAGTGTAAAAATAATTCAATAATTGAAAAAACGAATATTCATTAGATAAACGTTTTGATAAAATAATTGAATCAAAAAAAGAATGCTTTGCTTAATTTATCACAAGAAAAAAAATGCTGTTCGTTTTATAATTGAAATAAGAGAGAACAGGTAAAACATGTCATTGATAATGACAAAATTGAAGGTTGATGAAACGAATGTGATAAATAAATGCTGATATTCTGAATGAACATTTGTTTGCCTATCATTGGTGAAGACAATTTGTTCTACTTCTTCTTTACTCGATGAACAAGGGTTCCGAACAGAGCAACAGGATGACATTGTTATATTACGATTCAAACAAAAGAACGTCTTACCATTGTTGGTATCCAATATTATAATTTAGAAAAAAATATATAATTGATCCTACATCATGATAATAAAGATTTTAAAGTGAAAACCTACTCTTTGATTACTGTTTGTGCCTGATCATTGATTCACTAGAGATAAATAATTCTCTAACTTACATTAGTTTCAATATGAAGAATAAAAACAAATCATTTAAGACCTACGGATGCAATTAAAAATACTTTTAATGAAACGAATATGCGAATATTAAATGATTCAATATTTTTTAAAATGATGGTTTGAAAATGATGTCATATCTTAAAATATTTAAGATCCACTAAATAATTAAAATAAAAGTATTGAAATATTTTTTCAATATATGAGATATGAAAAGATTTCAATAAAATACAATAATTCTCGGAAAAATTATATTGCTGTATTAACCTTAGTGCCGGGTGTGGGTGTGTGTCGGGGAAGAGACATTTGACATCCACACCATCCTTCAATCGCACTTTACAACCACAGTCACATTCACACCTTTAGACTCTACATTGTTGTCGTGCATTTCAAGCGACTGATCAAACTTTCAACAATTTGGTTGTAGAAATTCGAATGCTAGACTTCGAAACGTGTCGAATGGCTCTGTTCGCGAATTCTTTAATAAACAAAAGAGATTTAATCTCAACGGTTCGAAAAGCTTTCGAGCTAAACTTTGTCCCTTTCCCCTAACTCAATATACTGGTTCTATCGCTACCAATGTCTCATAAAGCTCATGAGAACTGATATACAATAGTATATCTCCATTATCATAATCAGAGACACGCAGAATAAAACGAAGAGAGTAAACGAACTACTACTTCTTCATAACAGATCGTATTTTTTTATAAATGACTGTAGCGTATTTCTTTGTTCACTGTTCTTTACCAGCGTGACAGAATCTCAATCCCCTTTACGAAAAATAACTAAATTTAAAACTTTACGCGTTATATTTGTCTGGGTTTGCTTAATAGACATTTGATATAGTTATACACTATGAAACTTTGTAATCATGTTTAAATGATAAATATGTAACACAATTAATAGTTGTCCGAAAACTATGACATACTGTATCGAAGCATAGTTGTTATGATGAGAATAGGTTTCTGCATTAACTAAAGATACAGTCGAAGTCGTACATCGTATCGAAATTAGACCATGTCATACGCTGACCAGGTCGTAGCATATGACTTATAACTACAGCGAGAGCAAAAGTAACAGGCCAAGAAGTTCATGCAAAACTGCATAGCCATACAAATTACTCATGATGAAGAGTGTAGACAGGTTAGAGCAGAATAGTATACTACTGCTGTTACACCTGTAAAATAAGTAGAAAGTGTCAGTTCTATGCCATTAATATTGTTTGTATATTGAGTTTTTTTATTAGGCTATTATGGATGATCAATTAGCGTATTTTTCGTCATTCAATCAATGTGACGAGTCGAAAATGTGTTCGCTACTCAATAATTGCATTTTTTATTGCTTGAGTTATTGATACAGCAATATTCATCACCACTATTGTTAATAGCCAGAAGCGTTGATGAAGTAATTCGGCTAAATTTCAAGACAGACTCTGTTCTTTGATTTTTTTACGAAAATTTTATTAGTTAATTTACAAGATAAAGAAATCAATTCCATTAGTTTGTTATCCAAATATTCGATTTGACATGTTGATAGAAACTTGTCTTCTTCTTGTTCAAAAAGGTCAAATCTATACTTCAATCTAGTCGAATATTTTCTCAGTCAATTATTTATTGAGTTTAATCACTTTTGTCGATTCGTATGAATCACAGATGTCATTCAGGTGCTTCCAGTTGTGTTACGAAAGCCTCCACATACGAAAGTAGTTTGCTGAATTAGACTCTGAAGATGGAATGCAACATAGGTAAAACAACATATAAACAAGTGGTTTCCGCTGGAAATATTTTTTTAAAGTAAGAATCAGATTATGAATGCTGGTACTCAAGCAGACAAGCATATCACTTTTCGTATTAGATTGGTGTTAAAAAGTGTCTAATTTGTTATGTAGTTTGTTCCTTTGGCAGAGATTTTTGGCATCTAAATTTTTAATAGCAAAAAGCGGTCACTTGTTTTTCTCCAAAATAGTGCAACACTTTCGAATGTTTTAACCCTTTGAAAAAAATAAATGAAATATCAAACTGTATGCAATTTTTTAACACTATTTTCGAAAATTTTATTTTATAGATTAATTAGTTATATTTTATGTGTACCAGTTATCTGTGTTTATCTTCTTGCTGCAGCCGTATAGGAGTTTTCTTACAATATCCCAATCTCAATTCAGCACGTAGTTACATTTTAATTTTGTAAGAGTACGATCCAGCTCTATTTTTAGTCTACATCACAAATTTCTAAAGAAAACAGTTACCTAGAAAGAGTCCTATACAGTTTATTTTTTTCAAAATCATTTTCAATGATCCAGTAATTTAAATATTTTGTGTTATCTTTCCTACTTAACTTACCAATCACATCTTCAATTATATTTTAAACCTTACTGACATGAAATGACATAGAATGTAGAAATAAAAGATTTAAATTACTACATTACTGAAAATGCATTTAAAATAAATGTATAGACCTTTTTT